TCCTCTACTGACCTTGCCCGCACATCAGAACCTTATCAATGTTGACGTCGACGGTGTACCTACTACAGCCCTCATTGACACTGGCGCACACGTGTCTATCATGAACGCTGACCTTAGAGCACGGCTGAAGAAAGTCCTTACTCCTGGCCCAACTCCTGTGGTCCGAACGGCCGATGGTGGAAAAGTCGCCGTAATTGGTGTGTGCTCAGCTCGCGTCAGCGTCGCCGGACACCACACATCAGTTCTGTTTTATGTTTTAGAACACTGCCCTAATGACATAATTTTGGGCCAAGACTTTTTGTCTGAACATTCGGCCTTGATAGACTGCTCTGCCGGTATAGTGCAACTCGCTCTACCTAATGTTGTTGATCCTCCAAGTTGCCCTCCAAGTCGGCTTTGTTCTACAGAACACCTGCGTCTCCCTCAACGAACAGTAGCTTACATAGGCGTCTCCCCTGTTCCACCTGTCCCAGACGGTGTTTATATTGTGTCCCCCAATGTTGACGTCCTGCTTTCGCACAACGTTGCGTTTCCTCACACCGTCATCACTATTACGGCCAATGCATCCTGCCTACCCTTAGTGAATTTTTCACTATGTACACAAGTCCTCCCTCGTGGTATATCTCTAGCCGAGATCGTACCGGCGGCAGAGTGCCATATTTGCACTCTAAGTTATGACAGCATCCCGAGTGCCGAAAAAACTTCGTCTACTCCTCCATCAGACCAAAGTGTGTTAACCAAGATGATTGCCCCCGACTTGCCGAAAGAACAAGCTAACGACCTGCGTTCCCTGCTTGCATCTTTTTGGGACATCTTCGACCTTGGCGACCGCCCACTCGGCCAGACGTCCGTTGTTAAGCACCGGATTGATACAGGCGATACGAGTCCCATCCATCGGAGACCCTACCGTGTTTCCCATGCAGAGCGGCGCATCATCCAACAGGAGGTCGACAAAATGCTTTCTCGGAATATCATCGAGCCTTCATGCAGTCCCTGGGCGTCCCCTGTTGTACTTGTAAAGAAGAAGGACAACAGCTGGAGATTTTGCGTTGATTATCGCCATTTAAACAAAATAACGAAGAAGGACGTCTACCCTTTACCACGCATAGACGATGCCCTGGATTGCCTTCACGGCGCAAAATATTTTTCCTCCATTGACCTCCGCTCTGGGTACTGGCAGATTGCCGTTGATGACATGGACCGTGAGAAGACGGCGTTTATCACTCCCGACGGCCTTTACGAGTTTAAAGTGATGCCATTCGGTTTATGTAATGCGCCCGCCACATTCGAACGTATGATGGACGCTCTGTTGCACGGCTTCAAGTGGTCCATCTGCCTGTGCTACCTGGACGACGTTATCGTTTTTTCGCCTTCTTTTGCGACGCACCTTGAAAGGCTATCGAAAATCTTATCTGTCTTTCGTAAGGCGGGCCTGCAACTCAATTCGGCAAAGTGCCACTTCGGCCGTCGTGAAATTTCTGTCCTCGGACACCTCGTTGATTCCGTGGGGGTTCGCCCTGATCAAGATAAAATACGCGCAGTAAGAGATTTCCCTGTACCAACCTGTACCAAAGACGTTCGCAGTTTCGTTGGCCTCTGTTCTTACTTCCGCCGCTTTGTTAAAAACTTCGCCGACGTAGCACGCCCTCTCACTCAACTTCTCAAAAAAGACGCTGGCTTCATCTGGGGCCCTGAGCAAGCAGATGCGTTTCAAAATCTAGTGTGTCTGCTTACGTCTCCGCCTATCCTCGCCCACTTTGATATTTCATCTCCAACAGAAGTTCGTACAGACGCAAGTGGCTATGGCATCGGTGCAGTCCTCGCCCAGAAACAACAAGGACGAGACCGTGTTGTTGCTTATGCCAGCCGCCTTCTTTCGCCTGCTGAAAGAAAATATTCAATAACCGAACGGGAATGTTTGGCACTTGTTTGGGCAGTCGGTAAATTTCGTCCCTATTTGTACGGCCGGCCATTCACAGTAATCACAGATCACCACGCCTTGTGCTGGCTTTCGTCCCTTAAAGACCCTTCAGGCCGTCTTGGCCGTTGGGCGCTGCGCCTTCAAGAATTTGATTACTCAGTCCTGTATAAAACCGGCCGCCTGCATCAAGATGCGGACTGCTTGTCCCGGTATCCTGTCGACCCTCCAGACGGCGACTCCTCTAAAACCACCCTTCCTATCGACGTTTTCTCTCTATCCGCGTTTCATGACATTGGAATCGAGCAGCGACGAGATACTTTCTTGGACGGTATTATCCGAAGGCTCACATCGGTGAGGCCCGACCCTTCCATTCGAATGTTTGAAATACATGATGGTGTATTGTACCGTTGCAATATGCGTCCTGACGGCCCCGAAAGACTACTCGTCGTTCCCATTCAATTGCGTCACACTGTTCTCGCCCAGCTTCATGATGCACCTACAGCGGGTCACCTCGGCGTGTCACGGACCTACGACAGAGTTCGCCGGCGCTTCTTCTGGCCTGGCATGTACCGCGACGTCTGCCGTTATATTGCAGCCTGCGACCCTTGTCAACGACGGAAAAAACCAAATGCCCCTCCGGCCGGACGTCTTCAGCCACTGCACATCCCACAAGACCCATTCTACCGTGTTGGCGTGGACCTGCTTGGCCCTTTTCCTACGTCAGCTGCGGGTAATCGGTGGATTGCAGTAGCAACCGATTATGCTACCCGATACGCGATCACACGGGCCCTTCCAACCAGCTGTGCAACTGACGTGGCCGATTTCCTTTTGGAGGACGTCATCTTACATCATGGCGCCCCTCGACAACTCCTTACCGACCGAGGCAGCTACTTCCTTTCCAAAGTTGTTGATGACCTCCTCCGCTCCTGCGCCACTAAACACAAGCTCTCGACTGCTTACCATCCACAAACAAATGGTCTAACGGAGCGCCTCAATCGCACTCTCACCGACATGCTCTCCATGTATGTCTCCGCCGATCACCGCGACTGGGACACTACGTTACCGTTTGTAACATTCGCGTACAATTCTTCCAGACACGACACCGCTGGGTTCTCTCCTTTTTTTCTGTTGTTCGGCCGTGACCCTGCGCTACCTTTCGACACCCTCCTGCCGGCCGGACTAAATGACAAGTCTCAGTACGCTCGTGATGCAATAATGAAGGCGCAAGCGGCACGCCAAGTTGCTCGACGACGCTTACTGGACTCCCAGGACAATCAGAAGAGCGTATACGACGCCCGCCATCGTGACGTCCACTTCACACCCGGAGATCTCGTTCTGTTATGGTTCCCCTCGCGCCGCGTTGGACTTTCGGAGAAGTTACTCCCACGCTATTCAGGTCCCTACCGTATCTTACGCCAAGTAACTGACGTCACATACGAAATCACCCCTACGGACCCCGCCATCCTTCACCCTCACACTGACGTAGTGCATGTTACGCGACTCAAACCGTATTACTCCAGTGCCTCCTGATTAGCACCGGGTCGGTGCTCCAGCCGCCGGGGAAATCATGTAACGGTAGGATGAGAACGACGAAGAAGACAAAGAGGAGGACGATGTTGTCAGATCTGTGAGCCAACTGGGCGCCATCTTGTCCACCACCGAGTTTATTCCTCGTTTTATAAAGTGAAGTTATTCTCCCGTAACATCATTAACTGCAGTTCCCAGAAAGAAGTTCATCACGTAAATAAAGTCGTGGCATATGGATGATCGGTCAACATTGGCCTTTTCCATTGGATAATGTTGGCCACCGGCCATGGTAAATGAACGATTATTCAGAATATTTTATTTAAAAATTCGGCAGATCCTACGTACCTGGGAATCGACGTTATGCGAAGCATAGGGAAGGAAGGTGACCGTGTAGCAATTTTTTTATTTAGTGACACGTCAAGAAATGACGTTAAATGTATGTACAAATGTTGCACCCACAGACATATGTGGAAGAGTTGGAGATGTTTACATAACCAGTTGTTTGCACTTGCGCAGCAATGCCAACAGGAAAATGCGCATTAGCAACACCAGCAGCTGATATTAGGCGCTGATGTTCGCGAGGATGCTGGCCCTGGGTGCTGCTACATAAATCAACTTCAGCGCATGGAAACTGACCACAATTGACGTTAACCTGAAGTGACGGCTCTATGAAAGAAGTAGGTATGTAATGTTTATAAAATTGGGTAGGCAGCACTACAACCATTATTGACCTTTCACGAAGATTAGCATCTATTTGAAAAGTACTTCCGAGACCTGGAGTATCTCTGTGGTGGAATGTTTCATTGCCACGCAGAATGCTAGGGTTCGATTCCAGCTGGGACCCTGCCATTTATTCTTTGCATTCGGTGGTTCGACGCTACCGTTGCCAGATATTTATTAACGCTCGCACGTTAAAATTGTCTATGTGTATTCTCGTCGTTCCTGGGTAGATACTAAGTGTCAATCACGTGTGGCACATACCCACATACCAGTGGCACATAATCACCCGTGGGTATGTGCCACTGCCTGGCGGGACGTAGTTTACGCCAAGTTAAGGGTGTGACCACTAGAGCACCCAAACGTAAGCGGATAGATAGATAGATAGATAGATAGATAGATAGATAGATAGATAGATAGATAGATAGATAGATAGATAGATAGATAGATAGATAGATACGCTAAAAGTCGTCGAAGTTCACTGAAAAATGCTTCGCGTTTGAAGTGCGTCAGAGAACGCCGGCGGCTTAAGCAATCGTTCGTTTGGCGAGGCTGTGGTATCATCTCTTGCGCGGCGCGGGAGTCAGGTGCAGATTTGCGGAACGTCCTGAACAATTTTAAAACAATTATTATCATTAATTCTTGACTATTTTTGTTAATTACATCATTTAAGGCCTCGTTCGCTCACTTTAACCTGGTTTTGCTAATAATATCAAGCGCTTTACTGTGAGCATAATCCATGGATGACAAGCCAGGCCCCTGAAGTGCTCCGCTTAGAACACCGACAATCATTTTTCACATTTTCCTGAAAACCATGCTCTTTAATTGTTTGCAGGAAACGAATATCACGGCAAGACAGGAGAGACACCCATTAACTATCCAGCGTACAACACGTCACTGAGCTACGCATTTCTTAATGCATGCCGAGATTCTGGCTACGACTACATCGATTACAATGGCGCAAACCATACAGGTAAAAATATGGCTCTCTCATGCATGCCGTAGTGTTCTTTCAAGCAAAAAAAAAAAAAAACATTTTTCGGCTTTACGTTTTCTTAAAAAGTACTACAATATATCCTGCATACGAAAAAGTCCCTTTAAACAGATGTTCCTAAGCGTGTTGGTCTTAGGGAACCCTGCTAAACTCCATTATGTGTCAAGGGCTCACCCCCCCCCCCCCCCATTTCAAATTTTTTTTAATGCAAAGCATTTCTTGGCGAAATTCGGCGACTTTGATCTATCTATCTATCTATCTATCTATCTATCTATCTATCTATCTATCTATCTATCTATCTATCTATCTATCTATCTATCTATCTATCTATCTATCTATCTATCTATCTATCTATCTATCTATCTATCTATCTATCTATCTATCTATCTATCTATCTATCTATCTATCTATCTATCTATCTATCTATCTATCTATCTATCTATCTATCTGTCTGTCTGTCTGTCTGTCTGTCTGTCTGTCTGTCTGTCTGTCTGTCTGTCTGTCTATCTATCTATCTATCTATCTATCTATCTATCTATCTATCTATCTATCTATCTAGCTATCTATCTAGCTATCTATCTATCTATCTATCTATCTATCTATCTATCTATCTATCTATCTATCTATCTATCTATCTATCTATCTGTCTATCTATCTATCTATCTATCTATCTATCTATCTACCCATTCCCTTCTCTATCTATCTATCTATCTATCTATCTGTCTGTCTGTCTGTCTGTCTGTCTGTCTGTCTGTCTGTCTGTCTGTCTGTCTGTCTGTCTGTCTGTCTGTCTATCTATCTATCTATCTATCTATCTATCTATCTATCTATCTATCTATCTATCTATCTATCTATCTGTCTGTCTGTCTGTCTGTCTGTCTGTCTGTCTGTCTGTCTGTCTGTCTGTCTGTCTGTCTGTCTGTCTGTCTGTCTGTCTATCTATCTATCTATCTATCTATCTATCTATCTATCTATCTATCTATCTATCTATCTATCTATCTATCTATCTATCTATCTATCTGTCTGTCTGTCTATCTATCAATCTATCAATCTATCAATCTATCAATCTATCAATCTATCTATCTATCAATCTATCAATCTATCTATCTATCTATCTATCTATCTATCTATCTATCTATCTATCTATCTATCTATCTATCTATCTATCTATCTATCTATCTATCTACCCGCTTACAACATTTAGCTTTCCTGGCAGTATGGATAATGGTATCGATACCAAACTTGGTATGACATGACTGCATAACGTTCATTACTGACTATGCATAACATGAAAGTCATGACATTTATGCTATGAATGTCATGATTTACATTTCATGATCATGCTGCTCTTGCGGTGGTTTCTTTCACATGACATGTTGCGAAACTGGTATGGTATGACATGCCTGCATGGCGAACACAAGTGACAAACTTTAACATGAAAATCGTGAAATCGTGTTATATAACAACATGACTACATGCCACACTCATGATTCCCGTCATGATTCCCGTCGTGATCAACCGTCAATTTAGACACTTCGCTTCGAGGCCGCTTATCGACGCTCGCATATTCTTTACCACAATGCGAGAGAAACAGGGTCATTGAAGGTGTTGTCGAAATGAATAATAGATGCGCTGTTTGGTGCGTCGGCTTCGGTTTCGCCAGCTAAATAGGCGAGATTGCATCGCTCGCCAATGATTACCAGTGGACACTTTTCCGAAATTTCAAAGTGGCTACGGACTATTCGTATACGAAGGGCTCAAATTCACCCATTTGGCTCGACCGGCTATTACCACTGGTTAAAAAGCTTATTTTTTATTTCTATGATTACTGTCGTAATTAATGTTTGTAGCCATCTCAAGATGCCTTCTGCCACAGGAAGGCAACGCCGCAAGTAGCACGCAGATAAAAAAAACACTGGACAGATTTTTGAAAGACCCTGCATATAATTTGCCTTTCAGTTTTCCGACGACAAGTTGCGCAAATGAGAAGTTTCATTTTGGACACGGTGACTGCTCCCTGCGTCAATGTCATGACCCCTTGGCAATATAAGGCCTCCGAGATTCAAGCGCACAAGCTTGACTAAGAGCCCTGTTCTTGAAGTATATTGCTGGTTTCAAGGTGCTGGCGGGATTTATTGAACAGCTCGCACGTTTCTGTTACCCACTCAGATTTGCTCATTGAGACTAGGGTGGAAGTAATGGAGGTTTCTTAAATATATCGCATCTCGGGTTCGCCATCTAAGTGACTTGAGCTTACCAGAGCCTCGTGGAACATCGAGGAGGAGTTTGCGGAACCACTAGCTTCCTTGGAAACTACTCCGAGAAACCATTACTTAGACAATAATCACCTGCTTCACGCTAAGCAACGGGAAAAGACGTTGTGCGAACAACACTATCTCACCGTCGTGACCATAAGCTGGACTTCCCCCACTGCACATGAATGACCTCGACCAAGCTTCTCCTATAAGACTGGTACTCGATATTAACTGGGAATTCTATATTTCATCTGGCCAACAAACTTTCTGCCTCTACCCCACCGTGCTTGTCTTCTCTCATAATGTAGTCTGTCTGCCATGTGTTATTTTGCGTTCCCATACGTGGCGTGTTGCATGGTGATTTCCTGTTTGTTTTTACTTCGATGGAGATATCAGTAACGCAAGTTCACATTCTGATCACTCTATTCTCGTACGTTATTGGGAAACCTACCGTTTTCAATTTTCATGGCTTGTGGCGTCGTCGAAGCAGACTCCTCATCGTAAGCCTGCAAGTTCCTGCCGCGTAGGTAAGCTTAGGTAGCACACAGTAGTTACGTTCCTTCCTTTGGGGAATATTGGTATACTGGTGAAGCAACATTGATAATATTCAGACCCCCTCGCTGCCATATTTATTTGCGAGGAAGCCGATATGATGTCTGTGTAAAGGTTTGGGCCAATGCAGCGGACAACGAAGAAGCGTCTTCCGATGATGGTGGTAACTTCATATGGATGGCGCTCAGTCACAAAGGGTCCAGGAACCGGGTGGCAGAATAATTAAAGAAGCGCCTAACAAGCTCGCGACTCCAAGTGAGCAAGTTTCGTCATCGTTGGGTCCACACTAAATCTGTGCTAGAAATTTGTACTCACTTGCTTCTGATTAGGCACACGATTGCAGTTCTGTTTCAATATACATCATAGTGTCGCACAATGGTGTCGCACATTTGTCAAAACATGGTGTTCAAACTCTTCCGTGTCCTCCTACTGGCTCGCTATCCTCCTCTGGGGCCGCCATGCTGGCTTAATTGCCATGCTCTCTATGGACTATGGATGCTGCAAATATTATTACTGAATCGTTACCGTTGCGTTCCGCCTTGTTCACTCATGTGTATTGTGCAAATTGCTTCACTCAGGTTACTCAAGGGTGCAATCAAACACGGCCAATGGAAGCAGAATGAGTGCAAACAAATGCTTCCTACTAAGTGTACAAAAAAATCGTACAGAAAATCTTCACATATCGATCAATAGCACTGTCACTAAGGTGAGTACTGCATGTACAGTAGGGTAGATATTTAATACACCAAAAAATAAACAAATGAATGGGACCACTGGCCCGCGCTGTCACTTATAGAACGACAGCATAATCGACACGACCATTGAAAACAAGAGCGACAAAAGCGTACCACGAATTGTAGGCGGATCTCCAGCTTGCGAACCATGCCACTTCAGGCTGACTGTATTAAAAATGACAGTATCAACTTAGAGCCAGTACTGAACGGTCGTCCTGTTGTCTCTCACATGAGCCCCATAACATTGCTGATACTCATCTTTGTACTAAGAAAGATGTTTATTAATAAAAAGAAAACAGATATATCGGAGTGAGGTTCACTGATTTGGTAGGCCACACATGCACAGCGATGGGGGAAGAAAAAGGGGAAAAATAGGCATGTTACTCCCTCTGCAATACTTGAAGGCGAAATCATGCTTCGCATTTCGGAATGCAGTAATGCAATCGTGGACCAGTCTTCTTGCAAGACATAACGTGCGGTGGTGTGAGAGACACAGATTAAACTACTTCGATGAGCTCAGTCTATTCCATTGTTCCTCCCATAGAGTTTCTCAACATTAAATAGATGGCATTGCGATCGTTCAGCCACCATGGGAATGATGGGTAGTACACAGACAACATTCGTACTTTATGCTTTGAATAAACTTGTGGTTTCGTTCATTCTTGTGTTTTCAAATTTATTTTATAAAGAAGAGTGTATGATTGTGAACTTTGGCAGCCGATTAGAATCGGTGAGCCTAAATGTTTAAGGTGGTGAACTAAAACCACTGCACTTTTTCTGAACTTCATGTCGCGATAAAGCAGCTCGAAGCCCTGCGGAAATAAACGGGGCCGAAAGAACGAAGCTTAGACAAATCCATGTACCATAATTCTCATGATGGCTGAAGCACCATGTGTTGCAGCTTCCGTAGACGCTAGCGCCAAAGTTCCCTCTACCGTGTTTAGTGTAAACTCTACGATTCCTCCCTCCTAAAGCTTTCTCAGTTCATGCGGTTGAACTAACTTCCGCACCTCCCACCCCCCGCTTTTGACAAAGTGTCGATGCTTTGTCATGAGGCCACAATCACTCGAAGTTTTGACGTCACACATTTATGCGATCTACGACATCATTATTTCGTCATATGTTCATGTTTCAACATGAAGTCTTTGGTGACGTAAGTCACATTGATTTTTTTACCGTTGTATACGCAGCCGCGGATCTCTGAAGGGTCGCTCAATGAAGTATTTCAGACTTTCAGCTTTAGAAGACTTTCGTTGAAAGGGCGAATGAATTATGCCAGATGAACAAAGTGGACTGTTATACACAACGAAGTTGGCCATATAAATCTTTTGGATCCCATCTAGCGTAACCTAAGAAAGAGAGAAATACAAGAGAAAAAGATGAAAAGAAAATGCAGGTAGGAAAACCTGGTATACCACTAGTAAGTGATTTGCTGCTTTGCACCAGGGTCAGAAAATGGCGGTTGGAAAGAGGGCAGAGGTGGTGTGTGTCACCTCAGCACACAGTAAGCGCTAAGGACACACTACGTATACGCACCGTCTAGGGATGCCAATCGAAATAACGACCAAACCTTGTTGATGAATGTTCTGAATTGCTGCTTAAGCAACGCAGCCAATCCTCACTCGACCGGCTTCCCGTCGTGCTTCTTCGCGATGAAAGACGGGAGGGACGTTTCCTCTCGCCTTGAGAAATCATCGACGCCAGGTATCGCATGCGGAGAGGGGGGGGGGGATGTTGCTATCTTTCTTGGTGTGAGGGAGAGGACCGGCTGTTTTCGTTCATGCTTACGCCAGGCTCGTCCCCAGTTCTCGCGTGATGTACTAGGGCGTAGTGGACACGTTGCGTAGGACAGTGTTATTGATATCTACTTTATACGCAACATGACAGCGATGGTGAAAACCTACTGAGAGTGTACTTATAATTCTATCGCAATAAAAAAAAAAAGCCGGAATTGTCACGTCCCCATGACGTTATCTCTCTCCTCCGACTCTTGGCAAAACGTATGGTAGGTATGCTGTGTGGGAACGCCAGTCTTAGCAAAGACAGATGGAGAGCGTGAGCTCCGGTAGTTAAGCTGGCCAAAGGCATAATTAATTCACAGTTCACTTTCTTCTTACATTCCGAGATTCAAACAAGAAAGGTACTTTCAGTAAAATGCTCCCCAGACGATACATTACAATTTATGATGAGTAATATAAATCTGCAATGACACCTGGCTAGGTGCGATTTTATATAAAACCATCTAAACTAAAAGCCTCACATGCCCCCCTCCCCCGTTCCCCGACAGGTACAGCCGTTACTCCATCACTACACCACATGGCTCCGATCGTCTTCGATTGACGCCAGCGTGGCCAAGCCTTCGACAATGTGTGTTTTGGTCCAGACAGGGATCAATGGAGCAAGGGTCATTTTTAGTCGCGAATTTCTGTTTAACGTCTGTCTGACTGGCGGGTCGAATGCACTCACCTTGCATGTCCATTTCGCCGTGTTTCGCTTGCGCTGCGTTCACATGTGTGCACATGAAATTTTTTTTTGTTTGCCGTATGCTTATCTTGTGAATGAATTGCTGGGTACGACGACTCACGCACCCTTTGAGTGTGAAAGCACAGTTTACGCTCGAACGGAAACTATTGTATGTATCGTGCTGTTTGAAAATAAATAAACTGGAAGATGAACTTCACTACCACATTTAGGCTTTCTTTATTGAGTGACTCCGGCATAGTCATGAACCTGTGTTTGCCTTGTTTTACAATATATCAATTCTTTCGTGCGCCAGCTATGACTTTGAACTTGAAAGGCCCACGAGCTGTCACACACAATGGTTCATTGTCGAGATAAACATACGGCAACGAGCTTAGTGGACGCACGTGAAAACAAAGCCACACAGGAAATGTGACGAAAAGCGACCTGCTAAGTATATTCAACCCACCGGTCATTCAGTGGGTAAATATAAATTTACCACTAAAATATTCCCACGCTCTATTTAACAACTGCTGCAAACATGCATTCTACAACACTGGCGGCTGTTGATGCTGGTCGAGGCCATGCAGTGGAGCTTTCCCCTAACTATGCTGACGGCTGTACTATTACAGTCGAGGAGATAAGCTCGTGTGTGTTCGGTAAAACAGCAGGATCGAGGTAACACAAGCACCAGGATGAGTTCCCCTTTAGCGACACATCGATAGACGCACATAATCACTTATATTAGGCGGTCTTTTCTTTCTTTCTTTTGGTGCACACAGATAATTTTCGACGAGAATAAAAGAGCCACTCATGTCATCTTTACCAAAGACGGTGAAGAAATGAACGTGACTATCGGATACGAACTAATCCTCTCCGCGGGAGCCATCAACTCTCCAAAGCTGCTCATGGTATCGGGAGTCGGGCCCAAAAAGGATCTGAATGCAAGCAATGTGAGTGTGTCGATACAAACTAAATCCGCGCTACGAGATCTTCGCGTAGTCTCATCACATAAAAATATTCAAAAACGAATGCAAGAACGTGCAGAACAGTTGAACTTGACCTTCAAGATTAGAACGCATCAGCGTAATCTGGCCCCGAGCACATCCCCTTTTCGACTGCTAATTTGGTTTTCAATTCTTAGTAGATTCCCCGAAATGATATTGCTTTAGCGCAGCTCAGTTTGAGCGTGAAGGAAATATACTGTACAGTCAAGAAGGGGAAAGAACAGACGACAGTGTGAGCGCCAGGCTCGTCCCCAGTTGTCACGCGCTTTTACTAGGGCATAATACATATATCACGCTGGACAGTGTTATAGCGCTCACACTGTCGTCTGTTTTTCCTCTTCTTGACTGCATAGTGTCTTTCCTTCACGCTCAAACTGAGCTGCGCTGAAGCAATTTCATTTTATGATGCACCTACTCACCCAGTCAGCAGTACTTGTGGATTCCTCAACCATGCCATAAGGAAATCAACGTCTGCAGTGCGCGTAACATTGGCTGTTTGAAACTTTCTTTGATTGTGCTACTGGAAGTGCAGTTGTAAAGGGACCACTGCGGCGTAATTCTTTCTTTTGCGAATTGTACGATACACGTCCGCAAAGTAACACGCAGATCTACAGAGCTGCTCACTCTGTTGATGCTTTTACTGATGATGTTGAATAAACATGTCTGAGTGCTTTTCAATGGGTTGGCCTTTAGAACACCCGCTTCTTGCACAATTCACGTGCTTTGACACTTAGTGCTATTACAGAGCTTCACCACGCAATATATTATGCGTTACGCACACTCCTCTTATCACATGCATTGACATAATTATTTTTTTTTAGAAGCAGTTAGAAGCGATAGCGGGCCTTTGTACTTGGCATACGGGATACCTCGGTATGATGCTCAATTGAACCAAACGGTTTTTTTTTCGTTTTTGTTTCATTTGCATATTGATGTTCTTTTTACATGGACCGCGCTAATTTTTCGCCTACATAAAACGACGCTGAAACCAACACCGAGTTTTGGGAAACGAACGTTTTAACCCTATATCAAGCTAAAAAATGCTGGGTGCAGCTTGCACCGGTGCCGTAAGGCCAAAGACACAACAGGGCTCATCAGTTCGTAGCTGGTCGTGGCCATACGATGTGATACCGAGTCATAAGAAGTAACGCCGAGTGATGCCAAGTCCCTGTAGAGTACAGCACTGCCACCCTTCGGCAGAGTTGCCAGTTCCGCCTGTAGCAAGCGGATTGAAGCTTATTTTGTCGTAGAGTCACTTGTAGAATTTTCCAGTTAATTGACGCGTTTTTTATTGGATGGAGGGGATATTTGCACATTTCGTGAAAATAGCGTAATTTTAGTGATCATCTCGTTCACCACTGCACGCTTGTCGTTCACTAATAGCGTCTTTGTCAATGACCGATAAGTTGGGTGCATAGGCGTGCGCAAGGGTTTTCTATCAAGGACGGCTAAGGTCCACTGAAGCGCCTCGCCCCCCATCCTATCATGTCAATGTATGCGGCATATTTTGCACCTCTCCCTCTCTATTCTGGGCGACAAAGAGCGGGGGGGGAGGGGGGGGAGGAGCGCGGCACCCCGAGCGCACGCCTATGGTAGAGTGTTCAAACGTACGTCAAGAGAAATTGAAGTAAACATTCAGCAAAACAAATGGTGGAGATATTACCAGTAACACTAACCATGCACTGGAAAACGTGCCTTTAACCAAATGGAGGAACTACCTTGGAGACAACGTTAAGAAATAGCTACATGTGTTCATTCATGGTTGCGCATATTTTCACCGTACAAAACAATGAGGTGATTATCAAAACTCTTGTTCGTATTTGAGTGACATGATAAAATTATAATTTGAATATTTTCAGGAATGTGAAAATACATTATGTTTCTTTTTCTTTTGGGCTTCTTTTGTGATGAATATCTGTTGTTGTTTTTTCATCTGTCAACACTGCCCTTCGCTGTCTCAGTTTTACTATGACGTGGACTACTTTAAAGAGTCAATTTATCTTGGCAATTAACGTGCTGCGATGACCGGTAGGCAGCATTCACATCGGTAGTGCGAACCCTATTCTTTGGGACTCGCTCGCTGGATTGTGTGCCGACCGGTTGTGCCCTCGCGATATCCGACGACAGCGCAGCTCTGGCCGACTGGGTTGTTCCTACGCCATCTCATGACGCCGTGAAGCTCTCGCTGAGCGGTGCCCCGTCCTCGAACTCCTTCAACCGTGTCCATCTTTCTCTATTCCCTCTTTACTTCTGTATGTGGGTCTCTCTGTCCCTACCTCTATCACTATCCCTTTTAATTCTCCCTATCACTTTTAATCCCTCCCCACCCCCATCCATTGTGAGCCGCTGTTGAGGTGTCGCACTTTGATGCAGACAGTTACAGGGCTCACTTTTCTCTTCTTTTCTCTCTTTTGAGAATCACTTACACGTAGATTTATTTGTTCTCCCCGTATTCGCGTCTGGCGCTACGTGCGCATCCGCAGTTTGTCATGACGTCACGTTTGACGCGTCTGAGTGGTTGCACGTTGTGTCCAGACAGGCGAGCTGGTGGCGGAGCAGTGTACCACAAAGTAGGCGTACAATTTTGCAAGTGGTTGCTAGGCAACACGTCATGACGTCATAGCGGCGTGACTTTTTTTTTGTTGTTCGCGTAGGACAGATTCAGGCAGGCTCGATCACCTACGCTGTTAAAACATTTTTAACGGAAGAATGATAGTTTTAGTTGCATTGTTCAAAAGTAAAATATTGACATGGGTTACCTTGCCTTACTCCTAAGATTACAGGACAGGTACATGACTTTCTCGGTAGCAGGCTCATCGCCTCGCCGAAACAGAATGGAAAATGGGGGGAAAATGGGGTCTCACAAACAAATTTGTTTATCAATATTGGAAAGCATGAAGAGTGCCAGATTCAAAATTACAATAGCGTGCAATCAAGTGCGCAGATTCGCAGGACATTTAATATTCTCACCATTCTATGCGCTTTACGGCATAAACAGCTCCTTTCTATGCAGAAGTGGGCACTCTGTTTCGTTTCACTCTTGTGTGCTACATCGCCCAATGAATAGCACCGGAGAGCATGCTGTAGGTCGTAATCGCTTGGAAGTATGCTTGCGCAAGTAGCCTGTAATGGTTATATTCAAGAGCACGTTTCCCTAGTATGCTGTAAGTCGCAGCATCATCTTGGGTGAACTATTTCGGAATATTTAGTGATGTCACTTGCATAAGGTCACATGAATCAAAAATAACAAATATTCGACAAAGTGATGCGTTGCTATGCCCACAGAACTGCATACTCATCGCACATTGGCTTTCATTCTCCTCATGCCGTACTAGCCCTTGGTGATTCAGCAAAGCTGGTTGCCAGTCTGCTTAGTAAAATTAACTAGAAGTAACGTTGAAGTAAATGCATGCGCTTGTTTTGCAGATCCCGTGTGTGTTGGACCTGCCAGTTGGCGAAGGGCTCATGGATCACGCCATTTTTCTAGGCCTCGTAGTAACTACGAACCAGGATGAAGTGGGAATACTGAAAATAAATGATAGTATCAAACAGTACGAGTACAATCAGACAGGTAATGCCTGATTTGTGTCATGCCCAGGCACACTTCACCTATCTGACGTTAACACATGCGAACGGCCAAAGATTTGCCTAAGATGCTTAGGGCACTGTATGAAGATGCTTAATTGAATGAAACAACAAAACAAAAAGAATTGACCAATGTATCAATAAGACCTTACTGTACAGTTTTCTAGAAAGATAAGTAGTGGACATGCAGTATTCACTGCAACATTGACGGTTGCATCTCGGCTATGCACCTAGAGAAGAAGAAAACCTTCAGGATCACCAAATGCGCTGCCGTAAGGCAGTAGCTGTCTTTAATATTTTCACGTGGTTGTGTCCCTGAAGAAGACGACACTTGGTCCTAACTTAAGCGAACTTGTGCTCGGGAAATGAAAAGTCGGCGTACAAGCAACCCATGTACGCTGATGGTGGCGATCATATTTGAAGGTAGTGGGTCGGCGAAATGCCAGAAACCTGTCTGCTGTGCAATGTGAGTACATGTCAAAGAACAACAGTTGGTTTGAATTCCCGAAGCCCTCCACCGCAGCGTCTCTTTTGATCACATGGATGTTTTGGTACGTAAAATGCCAGGTATCACGATAGCGGTTGACCGAGCGTAGGCCATCGGTAATGTGATTATGGTTAGAACGCATGTTATTTATACACGAGTCATCAAATCTTCCAGCGCTATCACTCGTGCTTGCATGAGCTCTCGAATAAACATGACTATTTGGGTTCTGTGTGTATATCTAACAAAATGATCACAAACAATCGCGAAGTTTCTCAAACATTGCAGCGTGGCCTGCGCCGAGCGTTGCTAATAGTTTTTGAGGGTGAAACCCGAATGCACCGAAGTAAAGCAATAAACACGCTTGGCAATATAATGATCGGTAAGTTCATTTTCGAAATACGCTACTTGGAACGCAAAATTTTCCTAGCGAAATCGCTCGGCTCATGGTCATTACTCGTTAAAAGAGATGCGCTCCGAGAAGTCTACACCACTTATAAATCTAGCGTTCTTCACAACGAGAGAAAAAATCAAAGGAAATTTAAAAGAGAAGCACTTGAGACGCTTTTTTTTTGTGGTTCCAATATTTCTGTAGATCTTCAGTTTAATTAGGTCATACCAATAAACTCACGTTTCGACCTTTTTGAAATTCGAAGCTTGAAGTGCCTGAAGGAGGAATGTCTGTATGCCATCTCTTGCGCCATCTGACCGAAATAGAATCGTTTATCTATTCTATGGAATATTTATGAGATTTAAAACTGTTGTTTCAAGAGCATTGCTTAATTACAAGCTATAGCATACTCTCATATCCCGCAACAACATTCGCTGAACTGGTAATGTAAATATGAAAGGAGAAGAAGATAAAGTATAACGGGAGCCTAGCTGTACACTAAATATAGCACGACTTTCCTCACAGTCAGAGCTGCCATTTCGAACACACTGGAAAAGGTTAATTAAAACACTGAAGAGAAGCTGCTGAATTACTCTCAGCATTTAAGGAAAAGCACTACAATTCAGTTCCTGTTGAATTTTTACAAACCACGTCTGAAAATTAAAAAAAAATATACATGGTGTATTAATGCAGAACGATCAAGGATTACGCTTAGTTCATGTGTGAATGATACCGATTGTGTTCCGCATGAGGAAGTCCTCACTGCGGGTTATATTAAAATATAAGACTTTTGCCAAGACGTAAACTTATTTTCTTGTCATTGTTGTTTCATGGAAGTATCACAACTCGTCTTTTTGCCATCTGTCTCTCAATATATTCCTGACAACCATATGCTCATCAACTTATCTCTATTCTGTACCCCTTTCATAGGGCTTCTCACCATACCGGGAGCTTTTGAAGCATTGCTTTTCACCTCTAGCTACAATGAAACAATAGAAAAGGAAAAGGAAACAGACTGGGCTGACATAGAAGTGGAACTTACGGACTTATTTCCTAGACCAGATATCGAAAAGTCACCTTATGTTTCGCACGAGGTAAACCAACGCTAATATTTCGCATGCGATAATAGAAAATATCAAGCAGGGTGATTGGTTATAACTTTTCATTCACTGATAATTTCCTGCATACTAATGCACTATAAGAGAGGCTTTTATGTGATACTCCGTAGTTCAGGATTGCCGTGTAGTCGAAACGCGAAATTTTATGAAGCGTACTGAATCTTCCGTCCTCACACTTCAAGCCAAAACACATTTCATGGACACGTCGGTCACATTTTGCAGTCCCGCACACAGTCTGCAGTTTTTAAAAGTAACGAAGATTTTTTTTTACTTCATTGTAACAGCAATTAGATGTACACTCGATTCTGACGTCTTTTCGTCGTCGCTGTGAGGTGCCATTTTAAGTCAAAATTTGTAACATCGTGCGACACGTCCTAACTGCGATGTAAATGCCTCTGAAAGGGTGCGATCAGTTCTCGAGGGGGGGGGGGGGCAGGTGGCTGATGGCTTCGGCTGTAACACTGATCTAAGAGCCCTGCTGCTGGGGCACATGTGCCCCGCTATACCATCGAGACGCTGCATGGCACTCTTGGCAACTACTGGCTACTGTTGCTGCCGCGGCAGTTGCCCCCTTGTGATGACTGAGTGCTCCTATCCCCCGTCTTCTACTTTCCTGCTCTTCATTCCCCTTCCCCCTTCTCCCTACAAGACGCTGCGCCGTGCTCCCCCAAGGGCTGCAGAAATTAGGCGTCTTTTGCTTCCCCTAACCACAACCACCACCACCGAGTGCCGCACCAAACGGCTTAGCTTGACAGGTATCAGCGGACAGCTCACTCACGCTTACACGTGTTGTGCAGCTTACCCTGAAGCTTCACATGATGCTAAGATCACTGCGCTCACAGCAACGATAGCTTTTCCTGATGCCAGTGTTTCGTTGAGTCAAGCCATTGAAGATGCTAAACGAATTGGCTGCTAGGATTAATTCGAATAGCCTTACAAGTTCTTGATGTGCCGTTTGTGGCTTCGCCCTTGCGGTGAAATTTGCTGTTTTCTTAACCATGGTACACCTCTAAACTTGGATTGTACTACATCTTGTGCATGGGATAAATATTGTGCATGGGACTTGTGCATGGGATAAATGTTATGAAGCAGAAACGGACTACCTGCACGCATTACGTCAAGCTAAACACACATTTTACAATACCAACCTACCAAACCTATAGGTTCCAAATCCAAGGCAATTTTGGAAAGTTGTAAACCCTAGTGACAATTAGGCCATTCAAATAACGAACGAATCCAACGAAATTCTTAAGGATGCCGATTGCGCCAACGTGTTCAACTCCGCTTTTGCAAGCGTCTTTACTCACGGGTCAAACGCACATCCCGCTTCACTATCGTTTTGTATAAGTTCTGAAATGCCAGCCATCACTTTCAATGTAAGCGGAATTAGCGCTATCATTGACAAAATGAAGTGGACATCCTCCTCTGGTATAGATGAAATTAATGCGAAAATTTTGAAAAACACGAAGTGCATTGTCCCAGCCTATTTATCCTTGCTGTTCACCCAGTCTCTTTCTTTAGGTCTTATTCCAGATGACTGGAGGGTTGGGAAGGTCGTTCCAGTCCATAAATCAGGTAACAAAAACTCCCCGCTAAACTACCATCCCATCTCATTAACGAGCATTCCTTGTAAAATCATGGAACATGTCATCTATTCTCTTATCATAAAGTTTCTTGACTCGAACGACTTTTTTCATCCCGCTCAATATGAGTTTCGCAAGGGTTTACCTTGTGAAACGCAGCTTGCCATTTTTCTGCATGACATTCATACTAATCTCGATATCAATGTGCAAACTGACGTCATTTTCCTGGACTTCTGCAAGGCCTTTGATAAGGTTCCTCACCAGCGCCTATTATTCAAGTTAAAAAAACTTAACTTACACCCAGATGTCTTCAAATGGATTACTGAATTTCTTAGTAACCGCTCCCAGTCCGTAGCTGTCAATAATCACTTGTCTAACCCAGTACTAGCAACATCTGGCGTTCTTCAAGGATCTGTCCTTGGCCCCCTCTTTTTCTTAATATATATTAATGACTTACCTTCGCATGTCTCTTCTAACATTAAAATGTTCGCGGACGACTGTGTCATTTACCGTACCATTTATGACAGCCACAATCAAACTGCTCTCCAGAAAGACCTAGACAACATAACTACTTGATGTAACGATTGGCTCATGACCCTAAATACAAATAAGTGCAAATCTATGTAATTTTCTCGCAGCAGTCATCCCATAGCACCTTCTTATAAAATCAAAAACACGCTTCTCGAGAATGTCCATTCTTATAAATATCTCGGAATCACTCTTTCTAACGACCTGTCCTGGCACGCTCATATTTCTAATATCATATCATCAGCAAACCGGACGCTAGGTTTCCCGAGGCGTAATCTCCGTCAGGCCCCAAAACATGTCAAATTGCTCGCTTACCAATCCCTCGTGAGACCAAAACTGGAGTATGCATCGGCCATCTGGAACCCACATCAATCATATCTTATCGACCTACTTGAAGCTGTTCAAATCGCGCTACCCGATTCATTCACTCAAAATAGTCGTACAATATCAGCATTTCAGCACTTAAGGCAGATTCCGGTTTAATTAAGCTTTGTGATCGTCGACGTACTTCCAGTCTCATGCTCTTTCACAAGATTTTTCACGGCACCCTCAGTCAAGTGCCATACATCGTACCCGCTGCACGCATTTCTCACCGCACCAGTCATCCGCAGCAGGTCGCGCGCCCACGTGCCCGAACTGCTTACTTCTCCGCCTCGTTCATCCCCCGAACTTGGTGCCAAAGACTGGAACGGCCTTCCTGCTGACATTGCCGCCATCACCTGTCCATCATTGTTTCAGCAGCATATAACTAATCAATATGAAATGTCTATGTGAGAAGTTGTAACCCACCCCTTATGTAATGCTTCCTTCGGGAAGCCCATAAGGTTAATAAACTGAACTGAACTGAATCTGAAGTAGTGCCGAGCTTGCTAAAATGTCGAAGCACCATGATTCAAACGTAACTTAAATAGCAGTACCTTCGTATTAGGCTGGGACGAATTATGGTAGAACGACGGTACTCTAGATACAAAGCAGCTGACTTAGTCACATCGCCATTATGCAGCTGCCGCTTGTGCCAAACAACTTTTTAAACGGCTCAGTGACCAGGAGGGCCCAGCTGCGGGTCCTCGTGGCTCCGGAAGATGACAGAGACGTTTGGCTTGATAAGCGCTTGGTCCTGTCTGTTCTTTCTGTATCATTATCTGACGCACTGTTTCACTAACACGAGACTTGATAAGGCTGCTTGTGCGAGGCCATGCTCTTGCCTACTACTTCCCTCAGTCCATGGACGCCTTCACGGCTGCCGTTAAAGGTAGCTGCGAATCGAACAGTCTTACAAAAAGAGTTAGCCAGTTACATGTCGTTACAGCCGTAGGACAGAAAGCCCCTTTCGTACGGTCACTTCAAGTCTCTTCTGTTTCCCCACTTACTTCTAAGACGACAAACTCACTCGTGAGCATTGATCGGCAAACTCACTCATAAGTCGACTCACTCAGGCTCACTCAGACTAATGTCGGGACTTAAGTCTGGGAGTGAGTGAGTAATATGTCAGTGACCTTGGGTCTAACTTCCGTTGAGAAACATTGCAAAGAGTATGCGTTCAAATGAGTCCCGTTAAAAAAAAAGAATATTGTAGAGTCTTAGACTCTGAATCAGAGTAAGCCCTAAGCGCAATATATATATATATATATATATATATATATATATATATATATATATATATATATATATATATATATATATATATATATATATATATATATATATAGTGCAGAAGAAAACGCATCGTTGGCAAGCAACATCGCCTTCGCTTGGGTACTGGGTCCTGGGCTTGGCTTGCTCGGCTCGTGCTGATCATCGCCGGCATCTGCTTGACCGTTGCTCATTCACGATCGTGTTTTATCGTAGGACCGCCGTCGCAACAGTCGCCAATAAACCCTTTTTCAATATATATATATACACCTTATTACAATTTTTTTTGCCGCTGACGTATGCTCATGAGTGGACTCAGTTCAGGCAGTGAGTCTGAGTCAGACTGAGCTCTCAGTGCAAAATATAGTTCTTCAGTGCGCTCAGCCTCTTACTGTCAGCCTATGGACCTACATACTTATCTTTAAAATTACTATGAACCTTATACCAACTTACGGTTATACTGAAGTATATTCACACTATCTCAGCACGCCAGTTTTATATTTATTGATCAAACGTGTGAGATAAGGAGAGGGGAGGCCAGTGGGCGTCACGATTTCTACCACAAAACTCTTTCATGAAAAGTAATTCATAAAAAATGTTTCGCGTGAGCCTTGCATTAGATAAAAATGTCCTTTCTTAATTGAAACCACTCATGAAACGTATTTGAATATACAGAAACAAAAATCGTATCGTCCAGCCCCGATTATTTGAATTACTGGCGCTAATAAGCAATATCATGTTCGAAAAAGAAGCTTTCAGGCTAACGTACTCATGAATCGACTCGCTCAGCCTCCTGCAGACTCAGGTGGCGCCATGAGTCGGAGTCTGATCGAGTCCGGCTAAGTAATATGTTGACGATTTTGAGCGCGAGTGAGTCTAATCGAGGAAACCTTTGGCGAGTCTGAGTTCGAGAGAGCCCTCAGAGCTCGACATATTTCTTGAGTTGTCTGATCGAGCTCAAATTTTTAGCCGACTTAGGGTCATTTCAGTGTTTTCTTGTTTTCTGTTTGAGCACAGTGCAATCTTTAGTTCCATTCGACGACTTTGTTAGGCATGGGTTATCCCTGACTTTTTCTCTTTTTCTGCAAAGTCTTTGCTTGTCGTCCTTGGTATACATCCTGCCATTTCGGAGGACACAGCTCCCTCCTCAATCCAGTTATTCGTTTGTACATTTCTCTCACCCTATCACTTTATCGTTTCAGTCACACGCTTTACGCAGGCTCCATTACGTTA